TGTGTGTGTGTGTGTGTGTGTGTGTGTGTGTGTGTGTGTGTTATAATTTAGCCCCTAAATGATCTACTGTAAGAGCTGGCCCAAGATTATTCATTTGAAATCTGAAAACCCTAATAGATAGCAAGGATACAAGGACATATCAGGAAGCAGCATTTCAAGTCTAATAGACTAGGGGCCCACATGACCTATGGCCACAACTACAGCAGAATCCTGATGTTCCAGGTCCTAGGGTCATAGGAGAGTTGAGGACTCCTCAAATACACCATAAAATAAATCTTACCAATTCCCAATCTGCTCACACAGGCTCATCTGCACATCTGTGAGGCTTCGTGGAGACGTTTGGGACTCCAGCAGTGGGTGACTAGTACCTAATGTCTTATATCCTGAGATCCTGATCCCCATGAAAAATCTACCAGTTGCACTAAATGATTCTTGCTCTGTTTGCTTGTTTGTTGAGACAGGGTCTTTTTATGTAGCCCTGGCTGTCCTGGAATTCACAATGGAAACCAGGCTGGCCTTGAATTCACAGAGAGGTTCCTGTCTCTGTCTCCCAGTGCTGGGATTAAAGGTGCACACCACCACACCTGTCTTCTAATCCTGACATGCCTTGAGCATTTGCCACATACAGATATCCTGCAGAGTGGAAAATGGGAAGCAGTCTGGAGATAGACCAGCCATGTGAACCCTAGCCTCAATACCTACTACTGTATGAACTGGGACAAATTACTCTCTCTCTCTCTCTCTCTCTCTCTCTCTCTCTCTCTCTCTCACATTTCCTCATCTACAAGATCACCACTCTATGCTACAGGGTTATTATGAGGGTGAAATGAATAACTTGTTAACTCACTAACATTAAAAAAGCCTGGCATGAGCAAGCACTCAAGGATGGCAACAACTATTTCAATATTTCAAGGAGATAGCTCTATACCCAAGTTATAGGAACCAACCCATGGACATGTACCCATCCACCTGTTCCATATAAATACCTACCATTTTGTTGGTTATTCAAACACCAGCCTACAGCTGGTGCCTGCAGCCTGGTCACTCTTAAGCCTCATGGAACAGGAACCACAGCTTTGGTTCCAAGGGACAACTCAGCCAACTGTCACCCATGTCAAGTAAGCCATTTTCTGTGCAGTGCCAGCCCTGGTAGCAGGAAGCACACTTATCACACCAAATTCAACCCTAGACCAGCTTGCCCTGGCCTTGCCTCTTCATTGCTCTAGTCTGAGACAAGCCTGCCAAGGGAACCGGCTCTGGGTTACTGTGGAACCTCAGGCCCGGAGGGTCCAAGTTAGAACTGCGACAGCCTTCTGACATGTACACCAGGAAACCTCCAACTTAAGGCTGCTGCTACTGACCTGCTGAGCTTTTGGAGTCAGATGTAATTCAGAGCTAGGCTTCAGACGAACCTGGTCTTCTGCAGGCACCTGAACCAACAGGAAGGCAGCCATGCCTCGGGCAATCACACGGAACCTTGGGTGTTAACAATAGGTCAGAAGTGAGTGACAATTAAAGTGAACATTTTAAAATACAAACCCTATTTCCTATTTTAAAAGAAGACAATAGAACTCCATTTTCAGGTCCTTTCTGTAGTTAACCTCTTCAGGGAAACCCTACTTAATTTTTCCTTCCATGGTTACCCAAACAGTGTGTGCCCATCCAGATTCAAGAATGAAAGTATTGGTAAAGACATAGGACAGCTGGGACAGTCAGACATTGTAGACCATGGGCATACTACAGAAAGCAATCTGCACTGCCTTAATAAGGAAAACAGAGTTGCCAAGTCACCCAGAAATCCCACTCCTGGGTATGTACTCAAGAGAAATGAAGACAGATATGAGCAAAAATTTATGCACGAATGTTCACAGCAGCACTAGTTGCAACAGCAACAAAGATTGAAGCAACCCAAATGTCCATCAGATTCTAAATGGACACATGAAAGGTGGCAGATCCACACTCATGTGTGTGCCCCTCAGCCATACAGAGGAATAAGGGATGCAGCTTAGCTGTAGTATACTTGTCGAGCACACCTCAGTTCAGTCCTCAGCACCACAAAACACAAATAAATAAAAATGCACAAGAACTGCTGGCACATGCTACATCACAGATGAATTCTGGAAAGCATTTCCAGATACTGAAGGCCATAAAATGTACAATTCCAGTTTTGGAAATGTCCTAGGAAGAGTTTAAATATGAAGTCAACTCACAGCTGTCAGTGATGATGAGAAGAAGGAAATGAAGTGACTGGTGACTATTTGGCTTCCTTGTGGGGGGATGAAAATATACAGAGCTAGTGATGGCTACAACATTGTGGATGTCACTGAATTATACATAGTAAGGTGGTTACTATAGGAAATTAAGTTATATATATTTTATCATAACTAAAAAAGAAAAGCACTTGATTCAAGCAAGAGATATGCAAAGAAATTTAAGTAAAGCTAAAATTGTGTCTGTCACATTCTACCATAAACAAATGTGGTGTTTGTTATCTGGTCTGGAATGAGATATCCCCATGTTTACCACACAATGCATGCCAGCATAGCATCTTTTCAATAATGACAAGGATTTGGAAAGAAAGACATGATGTAGCTGGGGTGTAGATTAGAAAGGGGAGCTGAGCATGAGGGAGGGAGGGTGGTGAGAAGGAAGGGAAGGAAGGGAAGGAGAGAGGGAAGAAACCATAAGGAAGAAAGTGCCTTGACTCACAATGGAGGTCCACTGGCATACTCTTTCCTGCCTTAGGACTTTAAGCCACAAACCCAGATTTGTCTTTCATCACTTCTTACTTGCTGTTCTACACTGGGTCCCTCACAGGTTCTGATTCCCCCAAACTCACAAACAGGGACCAAGTGACCACAATAAAACAAAAGACTGAGATATTTCAATTCATTGTCACTGGCCCAAAATGAAATCAGCATGAACTAAAGGTATAATTTGACCTTTGAAACAAAGTTGTATTAAAATAAGAAAACATAAACATGCTGTTTAGAATATGAAGATGTAAACAGTCTCTGATCTTTTGCCTTCATCTTTCTAGAAAACCTATACACCCTAAGCCAAAAACCTACTCCAACATCACACCTCTATCAGGAGCCCACTGAGAAGAGCAGTGAAGAGGCTTCCTCACCTGTTGGACAAGGGCGATTTCCGGCCCAACCCAATAGCGCCGAGAATCCCGGAGCTGAGCCTCTCCTCGGCCATGAGGCTCTGCCGGCTCTGCAGCATGAGCAGGATCCGGATGATTGACTCCGTCAGGACCGAGTCATTCTGCTCCATCTGGACCAGGGACAGCTGCAGGATTTGATGCCACCACAAAAACAGCTTTGCTTCTTCCTGCGCGGAGCTGGAGGAGGAGAGGAGCGGAGGAAAGGAAGTGTAAGTACCTCCCCACTCACAATTAATAGAGACTCACATTTGCGTTTACAGGAGGGAGAAATGTAATACTCTACAATCACACATCAGGGCCAGTAAGATGGCTCAGTGGGTGGAGTGCTTGCCTACACCCTGAGTTTGATCCCCAGGAACCCACAATTACTATTTTAATGTTTGAATACACAGAATACATGCTTTCAAAAGTCAAAACTACACACACACACACACACACACACACACACACACACACAAATAAATAAATGAAAACAAAATTTAAGAAATTAAAGGAAATAAAACCAAGGCTAATGTGTTAGCAAAATGTAACAGCTACCATTTACTGAACATCTGCATGCCAGACACTGGTCTACCTGTCCTCTGTCGCTTGAACATCTACTTAGAAGAAAGCTGAAGACTGGTACCTCAAATACTTGTGTGAGGAGATACAAAGTTATCTCAGCAGCTAAGAGTCTCCCTAGCACATACTACTGCCCCCTGAAAGCCTGCTTGACTCTTACGCATCTCTGGGTTCTGGGCTCCTGAATAAACACTTACGTAAACTGTGAGTCCCATGGGAAGCACATACAAGCTGGGAGCAGCCAGTGGGCAAGCATACCTTGGGTACACCTGTTCCAGCCACTTGTTTAGGATGAGAAGCACCTTCATCTCGTTCCTCAGAGTCTGCTCACTGTTTAAACACTGGAGCAGGTAGACATAGAGAGTCAAGCAACTGCCGAGGGCTAAACACTCCTGCAGAAACTCTTGGATGGTGAGCTCGGGAACTTGAAGGGACACCAGAATGGGACCCCACCCTAAATTTTGATTGAGAGAGCCTAAGAAAAGAATACCAAGAGGAAATATCAATATATATTCATGTCCATAGAATGAGCTGTGTTGATGTCCACAGTCTATGCAGCCACCAAAGACCACGCTGAGGTCTGAGGCACATGTTGATACCAGAAACCATGTGGATGCCTATGGTCCATGGTCACCAGAAACCATGTGGAAATCCATGATCCATGCTCCCACTGACTGTAAAAATCAAGGAAGCTACTTTTGAAGTGAGTAGACTCACAGTTGAGAAAGAGGGACATAGAAGGCTTCCGTGACAATCTATACCCCCACCTCACCCCACCCCCAAAAAGTAACAGCCTAAGAAACTCTTAGAAATTATGATAAGGATGCTGAAGTGTAGCTCTTCATAACTGATGGCCTCTGGCAGGGGTTCGGGAGGAGAAGCACTCAGTTTTCTTTAAGGGGCTGGCTACTGGGTGTTTGAACATGTTCCAGTGAGGATATGGCAACACAAATTAGACTTGTGGGTTATTTAAATTATTATTATTCTTTTTTGGAGAGGACATCACAAGGGTGGGGGCAAATCTGGGAGGACTGGGAAGTAAGTATTATTGGGGTACATGACGTGAAAGTCCCAAGATAATAAAGATATTCTGAAAAAAAAGGAAGACAGAATCCTAATGATTGTTTTCACTTTAGCCTCATGTAAGACATCACCTCTCAGAGCAGGACTAGAGGCCAGGAAAGGGAGAGATGCCCTGATGCTTAGACTAGAAAGCCTCCCCGAGACACTACCTGACCAGAAAGGATTCACAAAAATTTGGAACTGCCAGGCGTTGGTGGCGCACACCTTTAATCCCAGCACTCGGGAGGCAGAGGCAGGAAGATCTCTGTGAG